TTCTCAGACGGCTCGGAAGGTCTCGGACCTTATGAGGAGTTTTGTGTGAGCCGTCTCCGAGGCGAGGGCGCAGAAGCCTCCCAGGAGGCGCGAGGGCTTCGAAGAAGCCCCGCCGCCTTCTGAGAAGGCCTGCCTCCTCTGACTTCCCCCCGGGGCTCGCTGTCGAGACGCGCTCGAGGAAGATCGAGGTTCTGATTTTTTTTGATGGGCCCTCGTTCCTGAAGAGTCGGAAGCTTGGGGGTGAGGGCGAAGTGAAACGTGAGGCACCACAACCAGGAACCTGTTTCGTTCGGTTTCGTTCGTGACGTGCGTGCGTGTGGGGGAGCTCCTGAGGTCAGGCCGCAATGTCTCGAACCGTGTGCGGCCAGTTGTCCGGTTGGTTGTCCCGATGGTTGTCCCGATGGTTGTCCCGATGGCAGGGGCAGGGTGGAGAGGGGGAGATGGACAGGCTGGACAGTATGATGTTGGTGGTTCTGGTGATCGTGCTGATGATGGTGGTGGTGATGGTTGTGCTTGTGGTCATGGTGATGGTTGTCATGATGATGGCGGTTGTGATGGTTGTGATGACGGTGATGGTTGCGTTCATTGTGATGCTGCTGATGTTGATGGCTACGATGCCGATGATGACGACAACGATGTTGATGACGATGGTGATAACATTTTTATGCTGATGGCTATTACCATGATCTTGACGATAGCGAGTACGTCGATGGTTGTGCTGCTGATGATGCTGATGATGACGACCATGATGATCCTGATGATGATGATGACGACAATGATGATGCTGATGATGCTGATAATGATTATGATGCTGATGCTGCTGCTGATGATGCTGATGATGCTTCTACCTATGATGATGACGATGATGATGATGATGATGGTGATGATGATGAGGAGGATGCTGACCATGCCGATTATGATGATGATGCTGATGGTGGTGATGATGCTGATGTTGCTGCTGATGATGCTGATGATTCTGATGACGATGCTGATGATGCTGATAGGGCTGATGATGATGATGCTGATTGCGAAAATGATGCTGATGACGAAAAGCTGATGATGCTGCTGATGACGACGATGATGATTTTGATGATGCTGCTGCTGATGATGCTGATGATGCTGATGACGCTGATGCCGATGATGCTGCTGATGACGATGATGCTGTTTCTGATGATGACGATGGTGATACTGCTGCTGCTGATGACGATGATGATGATGCTGATGATGATGACGATGATGATGCTGCTGATGATGATGATGATGATGATGGCGTCGATGTTGATGATGCTGATGCTGCTGATGATGAAGCTGATGACGATGATGATGCTGATGATGATGATGATGATGATGATGATGATGATGATGATGATGAGATGATGATGATGATGATGATGATGATGATGATGAGGATGATGATGATGATGATGATGATGCTGATGATGGCGATGATGATGACGATGATGCTGATCATGACGATGATGCTGTAGATGGTGATCTGATGCTGATGATGACGATGATGGTGATGATGATGCTGATGATGATGATGATGATGATGATGATGATGATGATGATGATGATGATGATGATGATGATGATGATGATGATGATGTTGATGGCGTGGATGGTGATTATGGTGATCTTTGGGCGCAGGACGAGAAGTGCGGCAGGGGCCTCGAGCGCTGGGCGGACGGCTCCATGTACGAGGGCGAGTTCTTCCACGGCAGCAAGCACGGCAACGGCTCCTACAAGTCGAGCAGCGGCGCCGTCGTGTTCGAAGGGCAGTTCTCCCACGACAAGATGGACGGCAAGGGGGTCTACAACTTCGCCGACGGCCGCACGTACAACGGCGAGTGGCACCGCGGCCACATGCACGGCGACGGCCTGATGCAGTGGCCCGACGGCCCTCGGAGGCGAAGAAAAGGGATTAGCACACCTTGGGAGGTCCGCGCAGATTCTCTGGGTCGGCACCGGACCCCTCTCCCCGCCTCCCCTGGCGGTGCCTCCCGGGCCGCCCCCTGGCGCGCTCTGCGTGCTGGGGCAGTGGTGGGGGGATGGGGGTCCTGCGCCGACCGAGAAGCCTGCGGGTTGGCCCATATGCAGGCTCCTCGTACCGCGGCGGTTACAAGAAGGACCTGCGCCAGGGCGAGGGCACGCTCGCGTGGCCCGACGGGAGGAAGTACCGCGGCCAGTGGTGCAACGGCAGGCAGGAGTCGAGCACCAAAAGCTGTGTAAACATGACTTTCAGAGGTCCGCGCGGATTTCTGGGAATGGCGCTGGCGGCTGTTCTGGCGCCTTCCCTGGCGCGCTCCTCGCGCCACGGAGGAGCGCCCAGCGCCGATCCAAGAAGTCCGCGCGGATCTTTGGCCCTTCTGTTGGCCGCGCCCCGCTCGAAAAGCTTCGAAACGGCCTCCCAAGGCCCTTGCATCCTCATCGTGCGTCCTTATAATGCGGGTCGACTGTACCGCGTCTCGTTCTTCGCAAGGAGGGGAGCGTCGAGTAGGTTTTATTGGTCGCGAGAACGCCCTGGACCGACCCCGCCCCCCCCCTTCTTCTTCCTCCTCCTCTTCCTCCTCCTCTTCCTCCTCGTCCTCCTTCTTCTCCTTCTTCTCCTCTTCCTCCTCCTCCTCTTCCTCCTCCTCCTCCCCCCTCCCCCCTGGTCGCATCACGATTCGTGCTGGCGCCGTCTGGGAACGAGCCACTCCTGAGCATTCCCAGGCGGCGCCGGCGCGAACCGTGACTTGACCGGCCTCTTCCCCCCCCCAGTCTCGCTCGTTACCACCAGGGAATTCAAACACGTTCTCTAGTTGGCGCCCTCCTGTCGTGGGGGCAAGAATGGATACGGAAACCATGGGTACACCTTAGGCGATGCTTAAGAAAACCTCAGTTTTCGTCCAGAGTCTCGATTATTCTTATTTTTCAATATAAATCCCAAGATTTTGATAGAAGTTCTGGGTTTTATTCCATTTCTGAGACTATGAATTTCTTAACCCATGATTTCTTAAGCATTTCGCAGGGTGTACAAAGGCCGACACCAGTTCTTGTTCATTATGAACAGGATTCGCTGTTGACCTCGCCGCGGCTGTATATCATATAACGGGGAACCAGGCCCCCAGCCCCGGGGGCGGCCCACTTTTTCAAAACTCCCCCCCCCCCCCGTGCCCTTTTTTCCTACCTAGGCTCTGCCTAGAAGGGTTCTTACTCTCTTAGCTTAAAGGGCCGGGCAATGGAAACCGCCCCGGGCGGTTCCCCCAGTCCCCGCCCCGCGATTCCCCCAGTCCCCTGGGAGCTTCAGCCTTAGCTTTAGCTTTAGCTTAGCTTTAGCTTTAGCTTTAGCTTAGCTTTAGCTTAGTGTTAGCTTAGCTTTAGCTTAGCTTTAGCTTAGCTTTAGCTTAGTGTTAGCTTAGTGTTAGCTTAGATGTAGCTTAGCTTTAGCTTAGCTTTAGCTTAGCTTTAGCTTAGCTTTAGCTTAGTGTTAGCTTAGCCTTAGCTTAGCTTTAGCTTAGCTGTTAGCTTAGCTTTAGCTTAGCTTAGCTTTAGCTTAGCTTTAGCTTAGCTTTAGCTTAGCTTTAGCTTAGCTTTAGCTTAGCTTTAGCTTTAGCTTAGCTTTAGCTTAGCTTCAGCTTAGCTTAGCTTAGCTTAGCTTAGCTTAGCTTAGCTTAGCTTTAGCCTTAGCTTAGCTTAGCTTAGCTTAGCTTTAGCTTAGCTTTAGCTTTAGCTTAGCTTTAGCTTAGCTTTAGCTTAGCTTTAGCTTAGCTAGAGCTTTAGCTTAGCTTTAGCTTAGCTTTAGCTTAGCTTTCGCTTAGCTTCAGCTTAGCTTTAGCTTAGCTTTAGCTTAGCTTTAGCTTAGCTTTAGCTTAGCTTAGCTTTAGCTTAGCTTTAGCTTTAGCTTTAGCTTAGCTTTAGCTTAGCTTTAGCTTAGCTTTAGCTTAGCTTTAGCTTAGCTTTAGCTTAGCTTTAGCTTAGCTTTAGCTTAGCTTTAGCTTAGCTTTAGCTTAGCTTTAGCTTAGCTTTAGCTTAGCTTAGCTTAGCTTTAGCTTAGCTTTAGCTTAGCTTTAGCTTAGCTTACTTACTAATGCTGCTTTCCTAGGGGCTCCAACTCCTAGGTAGGGTCGCACTGGGATAATTTCAATTTAGTCCCGGGGGGGGAGGGGGGCGACCCTTTTCGGGGCGCTTCGAGGCCAGGCCCATTGGGAGGCCGCAAATCGGCCCCCAGAGCGATCAGACAACCGATCCGGCGGCCCAAGAGGGCCCCGAGCCACCCCGAAGTCGGCGTCCAGGGGTGTCACACGGCCCAAGAAGCTTTCCAAGCAGGCCAAGAGGCACCCAAGACGACCCAAGAAGGCTCCAAGAGGACCCAGACAAGTGCTCCAAGAGACCAAAATTTGAGATTTTCTCAAGTTTGTGTGTTTATTATTTTCGTGTTCTTACCGTTTCGGGCTTCCAAGGTTTCTAGACGGCTCGAGAAGCACCCAAGACCGCCCAGACACGGCCCAAGAGGGGCCAAAGAAAGCCCCAAGAGGGCGTCAGAGACCTCTTCGGGAGCCCGAAAGCGATTCGAGAGGGCCCCAGGACGGACCACAACGGCCCAAGAGGGGCCCCAGAACGGCCCAACAGGGTCCCAAGAGGGGAACACGAACTCACAATTCCAGCCTTTCGCCCCCCGAGGCCCCCGGCTGGCCCAAAGAGGCCCTGACGAGGCGCCTCGAGGTTCCCAAGGGGCCCCCCAAGAGGCCCCCCAAGAGGCCCCCCAAGAGGCCCCCAAGAGGCCCGAAAGAGGCCCGAAAGAGGCCCCAATAAGCCCCAACACGGCCCCCAAGAGGCTTCACAGCCGCCCTCGACACGGTTCCCGAGAGGCTTCCCACGAGGTACCGACGAACAACCAAGAGGCCTCTGATACAGCTCCCGCACCGTGGCGGGATGGTCCGAAGGCAAACATATCTGTGGACACATAAATGTACATATATGTAGATAGTTGTATCTATACATGATGTTATTGTTATTGATATTGTTGCTGATGTGTTATTCTCATTCTTGTTCGTAGTATTATGAATATTGTTTGCATTCTTATAAGTATAGTTACATGTGCTCATATCGACCTATAGGCAACTGTGTATGCATATGTGTATAAACTTCCATGTATAGTTGCAATGACGTGTGCGCAAACGCATGTATGTATAACTACACGCACACATATACACATGTATTTGTGCACATACACATATTAACATACATACATGTATACTCAGGCATACGTGCATATCATGTATGCATACATATATGCACATGTGTATATACTCGGAAGGTCCTGGCCCCAGAGCGCCCAGTAATGCGGAGCCAGCCTCGGGCACCCCAGTTCCCTTTTGATTTCTTTCAGACCCAGACGACGCGTCGTGGAAGCCCCCGAGGACACCCTTACACGGCCTCTGGGTTACCGTATCAAACGGCGGCAGGTCCCACGACAAACCTGAAGGGAACTCCTGAGTCAACCTGGCAGTGCCTCACGGCAACTTGCGATGATAGACCCTCGAGCGCGGCTAGAGACTAAGCGGGCGCGAAGCGCGCGCGCGTGGTTCCGCTTGTCCATTTGAGGCAGCCTCGCCTGCCCGACAGCGGCCGCCGTCGGTTCCGGACAGCACCTGCTGCTGGGCATCGTACCCGTTAGCTCTCCGTCAAATCCCGAGGCAGGAGGGCAGCGGCGTCATGGTCGACAGCGACGGCCGGGAGGTCAGCGGCACCTGGAAGAACGGCGCCCAGGTCACCTGAGGCGCAGGCCGCCTTTCAGCGCCCCGCCTCTCCGAGGCGGCGGGGCCGAGCGCGGCCCCGCCGCTGCGCGGGCCTCCCTGCGCCAGCCTCGCCGAAGAGCGGGCGGTCCTCCTGCGGTCTCGCCCTCTGCGCCTCTCGCCGGTACGATCGAAGTGGGTGCGGAAAGTCGGAGGGAAGAGATGCGACACCAACACCACCAGGGGGGCCACCTCCAGCGAGGAGGTCCACGATGCCTCCCCGAGCTGGAGGCCGGGGATGTCTCGAGCGAGAGGGGGGGCCCACACCACCAGGGAGACCCCCCCTTGGTCCTCGCATCTCCTCGCCATGGTGGTGTTGGCGTCGCCTTTCCTTGTTCCCGTCACCGAGCGCGTTCCACTACTCGCAAAGTGCCTACTCGCAAACGTCTAGAAAAACAGGTGTGTGTGTGTGTGCTTCGATGTAATGAATCGCAAATCCCTTGGCGCATCCAGGCCATTTGCGAGTAGCTACTTTGCGAGTAGTGGAACACGCCTGTCCTTCCTAGGAAGAGCGGGTGCGAAGACCGACAGCAGTTGCAGTCCATTCTGAGCAGGGTTCGCCGTCGGCGTGGGCCGCTGGCGCTGTGGATATGAGACGGGAGGCCGCCTGTCCTGCAGCGGCCGCTGTCGGTTCTGGACAGCATCTCATGTTGGGCCTCGTGCCCATTCTTGCCGCACCCATGCCGGGTGTCCGAGTTTCGGTACTCCTCCGCCGCTGCTCTCCCCTCGGCGGGTTTTCTGGGGGGCCTCCGCGGGCTCCGGAGGCCCTCGAAGGCCGTCATAAGGTGTTCTTTCGTTCGAGCTGGTTTCTTCATGTGTTCGCTTCTCGAGGTTCTCGGCGGTGTGCCAGCCCTGGGATGCTCTTCGGCAGCGGCGCCTCTCCGCCAGCGCTCCCAGGGTGCTCGGATCGTCCCGAGCAGCCCTCGGAGGCCCGAGGGCTCGCCCGAAGCCAGGCGGCGAGGGGTTCCTCCGCACGGCGGCGCGCGCGGGGGGGGAAGGCCAGAAAGGGGTCTCCCTCCTCCCTCCTCCCTCCTCCCTCCTCCCTCCTCCCTCCTCCCTCCTCCCTCGGAAGGCTCAGAGAGCCTCTGGCCTCTCGAGCAGGCTCGCGGAGCCTCTTCACAGAGGGGCGACGCAAAGCAAGGGGGTCGTCTGCGCCGACAGGGGCGCGTCGGCTGCCCGCGTAAGGTCGCGTATATATAGGCGCCCACGCCTGCCAGGCAGCGTGCCGCGCTGTTGGCCTGCGGACGCCGCCGCGTCAGGCCGCTGCGCCATCTCGCGTGAGACCCGTCTTGGATCGTCGCTCGGATGGCACGAGGGATTCCGAGAAGCCCAGCCGCCTTCTGAGAAGGCCTGCCCCCTGACGCTTCCCCCCCCAGCGCGCCGCCGACTTCCGTGTGTCACGGAGGCGCTTGTATCCTTGTTGTTCGGACACACAATGTGGTTTCCATGACCTTCGGCGGCTCTCGGAGGCCAGGCGGCCGTCTACAGCCCACATAGACTCTGCATCGCTGTTGGCCAGGTCTGCGCTCGCCGTCGTCCTCCTCCTCCTCCTCCCCCTCCCCCCTTCCGATGCTGCACGTGCGCCGACGCTTCTCGTTTCACCCCGCTCCCCAGCGCGGCCTGTCGTGGCGAGGTGGCAGTGCTAAATCGCCCGCCCCTGCTCGACGGTGCCAAAAGAGTATGCCCCTGCTTCCCCCTCCCTCCCTCCCCCTCCCCCTCCCCTCCCTCCCTCCCTCCCTCCCTCCCTCCCTCCTCCCCCTCCCCCTCCCTCCCTCCTCCCCCTGCCTTGGTCCCTCCGCTGTTCCGTGTCTGCGTCTCTCTTCCGCTGCTCCCCGTCCCTCTTCCTGTGCCGATCTTCCTTCACCCCTCCTCCTCCTCCTCCGTACCAGCATGAAGCACATCACCATCCCTGCGATTGGCATCACCCTGTCTCGGTGCCGATCTGAGGGAGTCCCCGCAATTCCTGAGGGCACACCCCTGATATTGTCATCGCCTCAGGCTTGTAAGGATTTTTGCGTGCGCTCGAGGCTGGTCTTCTCCATTCGGACGCAACTACTGGGAGGTTTAATCCAGCATCGGCGCTGGTATATCCGTGGTCGAAAACTGGCACAACCCGACATCATCCAGTTCCATTCCGTCTTATCCTGCTTAATCTGGCTCAGTTTGACTTAATGCTGGGCTTAATCCAGGCTTTGCTGGCTTATTGGCCCCTTCATTGGCTGAATCGCCCAGGACTGTTCTTACGGAAACTCCCGGGGGCTGCTTCCTAACCTAGGATTGTTGTCGCCTCAGGTTTTAGAAGAAAAATCCAGGAGGCCTCGCGCGGCGCGTAATAGTTGTAGTATACAGTCCACACGTTAGCTCCGTAAGCTATGGGTCGACGCTCGCGCGGTGATGGTCCGGCGTCAGTCCGACGTAAATCCGACGTAATTCCGACGTAGCCCGACGTGAACCCGACGTAAATCGGACGTGGATCCGACGTAAATCGGGACTCAAGTTGCCGCGCGAGGCCCCCAGGATTTTCCTCCTAATGTTGGGGGTGAGCTCGAGGCCGGTTACCTCCAGCTCCATCTCCTCCAACGGCGACGGCGGCGGCTGTCACGACGACCTCGGCGGCGACGGGCGACGGCGCCAACGAAGAAGAAGAAAACGAATAAGAAAAAGAAGAAGACGACGAGCGCGGGGGCCGCGACCACGACCACGACCACGGCAACGAGCGAAAGTATCACCCAGCGCGCTCCACTACTCGCAAAGTGTCTACATGCAAAAGGTCCCCAAAACGAGCAAGCGCCTGCCCCGATGTAATGAATCGCGAATCTCTCTCGGCGGATACAGGCAATTTGCGAGTAGTTCGTTTGCGAGTAGTGGAACGCGCTTGCCCAAAATAGCGATGTCGTCGGCGACGGATGCTATGGAAGTGCATGTTCGGAGGTCCGCGCGGACCTCCGAGTTTCTGTTATTTGTTTCTCGATCGTCGCCGTCGACCACGAACAACGACCACGACGACGACGACGACAACGCCAACGACCACGAACGATGACGGCGACGACGACGAGGGCAATGCCGACGACCACGAATGACGGCGGCGACGACGACGACGACGACGACGACGGCGGGTATGGCGGCGGCGGCGTCGGCGGCGGTCGCGACGACCTCGGCGGCGGCGGCGGCCTCAGGCGACACCCTGACGGTGGACGTCCCCTCGGCGGCGTCGGCTCCCAGCGGCGGGCCGTCCTCTGCAGAGCAATGTTCGAGAGTCCTCGTCGTCGTCCTCCTCCTTCTCCTCCACCTCCACCTCCTCCTCCACCTCCCCCTCCTCCTCCTCCTCCTCCTCCTCGTCCTCCTCCTCCTTCTCCTCCACCTCCTCCTCCTCCTTCTACTCCCCCACCACCACCACCACCTCCTCTCCCCCCACTTGCTACTCCTTCCTTCTCCTCCTCCTCCTCCTTTGCGTGCTCCTTCTCCTCGTCCTGCTCTTCCTGCTGCTCCTGGTTCTTGTCCTCCTCGTTCCTCGGCGAGTTCCTCTTCCTCGTGGAAGGCGGGGGGAAGCGCGAGAACCGAGGGACCCGTTTGTTGTAATACCCTGGCGATGCCGGGCGCCGTCTGGGAATGCTCACGAATCGCATTCCCAGACTGCGCCGGCGCGAAAGATGACATGACCAGGTGAGGGGGAGGAGGAGGAGGAGGAGGAGGAGGAGGAGGAGGAGGAGGAGGAGGAGGAGGAGGAGGAGGAGGAGGAGGAGGAGGAGGAGGAGGAGGAGGAGGAGGGGAGGAGGAGGAGAGGAGGAGGAGGAGGAGGAGGAGGAGGAGAGGAGGAGGAGGAGGATGGAGGAGGAGGAGGAGGAGGAGGAGGAGGAGAGGAGGAGGAGGAGGAGGAGGAGGAGGAGCGAGGAGGAGCGAGGAGGAGCGAGGAGGAGGAGGAGGAGGGGAGGAGGGAGGAGGAGGAGGAGGAGGAGGAGGAGGGGAGGAGGAGGAGCGAGGAGCGGGGAGCGAGGAGCGGGGGGGGGGGTAGGGGGAGGAGGGGGGGGGCGGGGCTGGTCACGGGCGATGTCGCGAATGATAAGCGTTAGCTCGAGTTGGCCGGATTTCGGGTGTGCCGCCGCTTTCTGACGGCCCTAGCGTGTTTTCGGACGCTCCATTTTTTCGGGAAGAGTTTGCACCAGCAGGTCGCGTCGAACGTCCAGACGGGGTGTCGTCGTTTTTCTGATGGCCCCGTCAGGCCAACTCGCGGTACAGCCGGCGCTGATTCGTAGGTCGACCCTGCCAGATCAAGGGTACCCGCTTGTGTCCTGTGCCTCGCGACCCATGCCTTCTGCCTTCCTATGGTAGCGTGGCCCTCGGAAGGGTCTCGTGTCCTCTCGCGTGTCCTCTCCTACACCTTAGGCGATGCTTAAGAAAACTTAAGTTTTCGGCCAGAGTCTCGATTCAAATCCTAAGATTTTGATAGAGATTTTGGGTTTTTATTCAAGTTCTGATACCATGAATTTCTTAACTCATGATTTCTTAATCATTTCGCGTGGTGTATGAACTCCGACTGCAGGGCCCCCGAGCTCGAGTCTTACGCTCCCCCGCAGCAGAGGCACAGGGCCTGAGCCGCCGCCCTCGGAGCCCCGTGCGGGCGCGGATGCCTCGGGGCTCGGCGGCCTGGACCCCCCCCCCGCGCCATTCGGGGGCGGAAAAGAGGGGGGTAATGACTAGGGGGGGGGGTGGATATCATGGCGGGGGCCATGATATTTCCCCAGATTTTATGGCGCCTCTTCTGGCCCCCCCGCTGGGCCGCGCACATGCCGCCGGTCATGATTTGCACCCCCCCCCTCTTGGACACCCCCCTCTTGGCCGCTCCCGAGCCTTGGGAGCCCTCGCTGTCCAGCGCCGATGCGAGACAGCCACGCGGACCCCCGGAAGTCATCGGAGGGGATCGGTGTGTACACCACGTCGTCTTGTGGACCCCTGAGCCGAAGATCTCGGCGAAGGAGGCTGGTTCACAGACGCTCCGGCGTCCCGCAGGTCCTGCAGCGGTGGCGGCCATACACCGAGCTCTCTGGCCGACCAGACGACGTGGTTTATACATCGAGCCCCTTGCAGGTCAAGGTTTGCTGAGCTTTTGTTGCTCTGCTGACGTCGTCGTCGCCGCCCCTCAGTGTACAGCACCGTCTCCCAGCAGCCGTTGCTTGGCGCCCGTGCACCACACAACCCTCCTCCTGCCTACCTCCTCGCTTCTCCCTCCTCCATCCTCCCCTCCTCCTGTCTCTCCTCCCTGCTTGGGCGCGCTCTGACGTTTGGGTCTTTTCCTCCCTCCTCCTCCTCCTCCTGCATCCCTCTCGCCTCTCCCTTCCCTGCCCTCCTCCAGTCCCTCCCTTCCTCCCTTCTCCCTCCCCTCCTCCTGCCCTCCTCCCTTTTTCGCCCTCCTGGGTGGACGAAGAGCGCCTGACCTGCCCACGAGGGACGCGGAGGCCCCGGAAGCTGCGCATGCGATCTCCGGGAGACTGGGGGGTCCCACCTCCGACCGCAGGTTGCCCTCGATCGCGGACCGACCGACCGCACAGCCCATATGGCCCAATCGATCGGAGCTGGACCCCGGCGGGGGGCACCGCGAGGGGGCCGCCCCGGGTGCGAGTCCATCAGGAGGGAAAAAAGCACAGACACAATGCATCGTCGATTCCCCAGAAGATATGGGAAAATATGGGAAGTGGGGGGGAAGACAAAATCAGAAAATAGGGGAAAATATGGGGAATCCGGTGATTTGTGTGTATTGATTGGTGTGCCCCAGGGCCCCTTCAACATGGCCCAATCGATCGGAGCTGAACCTCGGCGGTGGACACGGCGAGGGGGCCGCCCCGGGTGCGAGTCCAGAGCCGCCCACGTGAGCGGGCGGCGGCGAGTGCGACGAGACCCCTGCGACCGGGGGGGGGGCCTCGGCCAGCGCCCGCTTCTCCGGCCCGGCCCTGCAGCCCTCCTCCTCCTCCTCCTCCTCCTCCTCCTCCTCCTTGTTCTCCTCGTCCTCGTCCTCCTCCTCCTCGACCTCCTCGACCTCCTCCTCCGCCTCCTCCTCCTCCTCCTCCTTCTCCTCCTGGAAGGCCGTCCTCTGCAGCAGGGGGCGGGCGAGGCGGCGCGAAGGGATCCCGCGGGCCCCGTCAGGCCTGGCCTCGCGGGTCGCCCCGCTTCTTGAAGCCCGAGGGGAGCAGCCCGGATCGCCATCTGGATTGGAGCAGCGGCCAGCGGGGCCAAGGCCGCGCCAGTGGGGGACGTGGATCGTAGGGGGCCACGTGCGAGCCCTACCCCTGCCCCTCACGATTTCTGAGGGGGGTAGGGGTAGGGTTCGCGCGTGGCCCCCCAGATCGGTCCAGAAAGATGCTCCTGAGAGCGGCATGCCGGGCGGGGTCCTCCGCATGTTTTCCTCCAGCGCCTTCCCGCTCCTGCGCCCTGTGGGTGGCTCCTCGTCCTCTGCCTGCCCCGCCTGTCCACCTCTACTCTTGAGTGGGGCATGTCCCTCTACAGGAAAAACATTCAAACATGTAAAAAAACAACAGTCTTGGGACATTTTTTGACTCTGTGTGACTATTGGTAAGTCCTTTTGGTATATTTTGATTAGCTCTTACAATATCCGCCTGTAGGAGGACATGCCCGACCTAATTCTACGTCTTCTCCTTCTTCGCTCCCCCTCGTATGCCT